TCAGAATTTGCAGAAGATGGATTCTCGTATCGTCTACAGGGTGCAATAAATAGCTCTACACTCAGAGGAGCCATGTTTCCTTCTTGCCCCGCCCACTATCAGATGTTATGTACCAGGTGACAGCAAGACCCACATCTTAATAGTGTCTTAGATACCAAGTGAGATAAAATTGCTCTTATCAGGTATCCCACATTTCACCTTGTCAATCATCATGTTTGTAATTGTTCCTTATACCATTTGTCACCTGGTCATTGGTGGCATTCTTTATTTTAATAAATATATTGCCAAAGCTTTGCAATTACATAAGTAAATGTAAACCTTCCATCTGAAACATCACCCCAATTCAGCAGGAAGCTGGTTGATGACTACATCACCCCTCCTCCCATAGATACGTAAGGATAAAATGGAAGTGGGAAATATGTAGCAGGGAAAGACCTAGAAAAGTGTGACATGTATTGCAAGATGTCTTTTTAAAACTTCCCCCACACTTTTTGAGAATTAAAACCTTCATTCCTGCCCCAAGCCAGTGGTCAGGAGGGTCAGGTAAGTGTCCTTTATACTTTGTACCATAGGAGATGGCTCAATGGAACTGTCCAGATCATGATAGTGTCTTCACTGGAGACAGAATTGATCAAAAGCACCAGCTGTAGTTAAATAGCAATAACTTGAAGCCAAATACCCTCCCTGTAAAAACTCTGTACTTCTGCTAATAGAGAGGAAGCTGGCATTATAAGACAAGAGTCTCCATCCTCCTCATTTGCCAGCAAATTAATAAACTTCCCTTTCTTTCTCTTTAGAACCCCTGTCCTTCTTTTGATGTGGCCTTGGGGATAAGTACTAAACTTTCACTAACACTTGCTGTCTCAACTCATCTGAAAGCATAGCCTAGAAGATTAATTAAGATGAGGATTTAAAGCCTGACTTGGACAACATCGGGAAACATCCATGTGTAAGAATAAAAAAGAAATAAAATTAAAAGAAATAGCTGAAACATTCTTAAAATAAGGAAGAAACACTTTCTACTTTTAAAGACAAACACAAAATTGTGATAAGCAAGAGAGTATGGTAGTGTGTGGTACAGCCATGCAGATAAATATATAGATAAATGAAATCAGTTTTGGAATTCAAATATATATCCACACATTCACGGTTTTTGTTTTTTTTAACTGGCAGAGACTGGCTCTGTTGCACAGGCTGGATTATAGTGGCACGAACATAGCTTACTGCAACCTCCAACGCCTAGACTCATGCCATCCTCCCACCTCAGGCTACCAAGTAGATAGGACTACAGGTTCATGACACCATGTCTGGCTAATATTTTATTTTTCTATTTTGTGGAGACATGGTCTCTCTGTGTATCCCAGTCTGGTCTGGAAGTTCTGGACTCAAGTGATCCTCTTGCCTCAGCCTCCCACAGTCCTGGGATTATACGCCTAAGCCACCATGCCTACACACATTTATGCCTTTTGACAACAGTGACAAAATTATTTAATGGAAAAAGAATAGGTTATTTAAAAATGCTGGTTGGAAAACTGATTATCCACATACAAAAATTAAAAATGAACCTCTACCTCAAATTCTCAAAATAGATCAAAAACTTGTTTAAGGCTAGAACTATAAAACTCTATAATACATACAGATTAATTTTTGTGAACTTAGATTTGCTATTAGCTTCTTAGATATGTTGCCAAAAGCAAAAGCAACCAAATTAAAATACATAAATTTGACTTAATCAAAATAAGCTATTTTGTGCTTCAAAGGACACCATCAAGAAAATGAAAATAAAACAACCAGATCTGGACCATATATTTGCAAATTATATGCCTAATGAGGAACTATTATAAAAATATATTTTAAAAATACAGCTCAATAATGAGACAAATAATCAAATCAACAATGGGCTAAGAAATTAAAGTACCTAGGAGTATACTTAACCAAGGAGGTAAAAGACCTCTACAGGGAGAACTATGAAACACTGAGGAAGGAAATAGCAGAGGATGTAAACAGATGAAAATCCATTCCATGCTCGTGGATTGGCAGACTCAACATCATTAAAATGTCTATACTACCCAAACTGATCTACAGATTCAATGCAATATCTATTAAAATCCCATCAGCATTCTTCACAGATATAGAAAAAATAATTTTATGCTTTATATGGAACCAAAGAAGACCCCGAATATCAAGAGCAATTCTAGGCAACAAAAACAAAATGAGAGGTATTAATATGCCAGATATCAAACTATACTACAAAGCTGTAGTCATTAAAACAATATGGTATTGGCACAAAAATAGGAATATTGACCAGTGGAACAGATGTGAGAATCCTGATATAAAACCATCCTCATATAACCATCTAATCCTTGACAAAGCAGACAAAAACATATGCTGGGGAAAAGAATCCCTTTTCAATAAATGGTGTTGGGAAAACTGGATAGCCACTTGTAGAAGGCTAAAGCAGGACCCACACCTTTCACCTCTCACCAAAATCAACTCACGCTGGATAACAGACTTAAACCTAAGGTATGAAACTATTAGAACTCTAGAGGAAAACGTTGGAAACACTCTCCTAGACATCAGCCTAGGCAAAGAGTTTATGAAGAAGTCTCCAAAGGCAATCAGAGCAGCAACAAAAATAAATAAATGGGACATGATGAAACTAAAAATCTTCTGCACAGCCAAAGAAACAGTCATGAAAGTAAACAGACAACCTACAGAATGGGAGAAAATTTTTGCATCCTACGTATACGATAAAGGGCTGATAACTAGAAATGCTTAGAATTCACGAAAATCAGCAAGAGAAAATCAAATAACCCTATTAAAAAGTGGGCAAAGGACTTGAACAGAAACGTTTCTGAAGAAGACAGAAGAATGGCCAACAAACATATGAAAAAATGCTCATCATCTCTAATCATCAGGGAAATGCAATCAAAACTACAATGAGATATCACTTAACTCCAGTGAGAATGGCCTTTATCAAAAAGTCTCCAAGTAACAAATGCTGGCGTGGATGCTGAGAGAGAGGAACACTCCTACACTGCTGGTGGGACTGCAAACTAGTTCAACCTCTGTGGAAAGCAATATGGAGATACCTTAAAGCGATACAAGTGAATCTACCATTTGATCCAGCAATCCCATTGCTGGACATCTACCCAAAAGATCCAATGACACTCTACAAAAGAACCTGCACTCGAATTTTATAGCAGCACAATTCATAATTGCAATGCTGTGGAAACTGCCCAAGTGCCCATCAATCCAAGAATGGATTAATAAAATGTGGTAATATATACATGGAGTACTATTCAGCTCTAAGAACAACAGTGATATAGCACATCTTATATTTTCCTGGTTAGAGCTGGAACCCATACTACTAAGTGAAGTATCCCAAGAATGGAAAAACAAGCACCACATATATTCACCATCAAACTGGTATTAACTGAGTAGCACCTAAGTGGAGACATAGGTACTACAGTAATAGGTATTAGGAAGGAGGGAGGGGGGAGGGGGCGGGTATGTACATGCATAATGAGTGAGATGTGCACCATCTGGGGGAGGGTCATGCTGGAAACTCAGACTTGTGGGGGGAGGGAGAGAATTGGCATTTATTGAAACCTTAAAATCTATACCCCCATAATATGCAGAAATAAAAATAAATAAATAAATAAATAAATAAATAAATAAATAAATAAATAAATAAAAAACAATGGGTTAAGGATTTGAATAAAAATTTCTGTAAAGAAAAAATGTACAACAGGTGAAAAGCAAATGAAATTAAGCTCAACACCTTTAGAAAATACTGAGATATCACTTCATCCCCACTGGTTATAATCAAAAAATATATAACAGAAAGGTCTTGCAAGGATGTGGAGAAATTGAAAGCCTCATAAATTGGTGGTGAGAATGTAAAATAGTGCAACCAATGTGGAAAACAGTCTAACAATTCCTCAAAAGGGTAAACATACAGCTGGCATATGCCCCAGTAATTCTAATTTTAGGCATAATCCCAACAGAAATCAAATTATGTCCACACAAAGCCTGTACATGAATGTTAATAAACTACAATAAACAATATAACAATGTTAAACAAAAATTAATAACATTCATGTTTATTAAACCTATCAAGAAAGGAGTCTATGTTAATAGTATATTAATAATTTTGGCATCAGCAAAAGCAAATATTGGACAAAATCAATGTCCATCAATTGATAAACAATTAAACCAAATGTGTATATCCATCTGATACAATACTATTCGGCAATAGAAAGGAATGAAGTCCCTCTATAAGGGCAACCATGCATCATTCTTTTTAATATTATGATAAGTGAAAAATGCAACTCATGAAGGACCTCATAGTTAAGTTCCATTTATCAAATTGTATGTAAATTGAAAATTATAGGTACAGAAATTATGTTATTGGTTGCTAAGGGCAGCGGGGATAGAGAAATAAAGGGTGGGGAGATGAAAGCTGAAGTGGACAGTGGATGGGGATTCATTTAGGGAGACAAAACTCTTCATTGTAGTGACTGTGCAATTCCATGAACACATTTAGGAAACATTAAATTTTAAGCCATAATGGTGAATCATATAGTATATACATTGCCTATCAACAAAGATTTACAAAAACAAAACTTTGAACCATGATATTAAAAAATACCGACTCAACTACACAATTGCTTTATTTCTATTTCTGTATTTCTATTTCTGTAATAAGAGACTGCACACCAAGGAGCCTCTCACTTGTCACAATTTTGGACACTATTCAGGAATGCATTACATAAAACAGATTACATGCACATGCAAGGTCATCAAAATTACCTGGATTATAGCACTCACAAACATGAAAAGGACATTAAACACACTTGAGTAAATATGAACTGATCTCACTTTGTTGTGTCCATCCACCAACCACATACTCAGACTGTTCAGTTAATGTAGTTACTTTGAAGTGTAGGAGTTAAATTTTAACTTGATTGATTTGTGCTTGGATATAAGCATGAGAAAGGGCAGAAGAGAACAACAATTGCACTGCAGCACGATGACTCTGCAGTGGACTTCAGTTCTTCTGCTGATGCAACTGAGTGTTTACTTTAGCTCTGGGACTTGCGGGAAGGTGCTGGTGTGGCCCACAGAATACAGCCACTGGATGAACATGAAGACAATCCTGGATGAACTTGTCCAGAGAGGTCATGAGGTGACTGTACTGGCATCTTCAGCGTCCATTGTTATCGATCCCAGCAAAACATCTGCTATTAAATTTGAAGTTTATCCTACATCTTTAAGTAAAGAGGAATTTGATGGGCTTTTCATGCATCTGTTCCATAGAGCAATATATGATGCTCCAAAGGACACATTTTGGTCACATGTTTCAGAAATAGAAGAAATGGTGTTTGGATATACTGAAATTATGAGAAAGCTCTGTAAAGATGCAGTTTTAAACAAGAAACTTATGACAAAGCTACAAGAGTCAAAGTTTGATGTCATTCTTGCAGATGCTGTTGGTTTCTGTGCTGACCTGCTGGCTGAGATACTCAAAACACCCCTTGTGTATAGTGTCCGCTTCTCTGCTGGCTACACATTTGAGAAGCATAGTGGGGGACTTCTATTCCCTCCTTCCTACGTACCTGTAGTTATGTCAGAATTCAGTGATCAAATGACATTCATGGAGAGGGTAAAAAATATGATATATGTGCTCTATTATGACTTTTGGTTCCAAGCATATGATGTGAAGAAGTGGAAGCAATTTTATCTTGAAGTACTAGGTGAGTAATGTATTTAATTGGTTGTTATTAATTCCTACTTTTCCTTGTACCTTAGAAGGCAAGCTTGTATGAATATGAAGTTAGAAGAGTATATGTTTTATAAATGCAATTATAAAATGAAAGTATAAATGATCTATCAATATCAGATATATTATGGAAAGATTATTATCAGAAATGCTATGGAAAGAGCAGTTAGAACCTTGTGGTCATAATTTATACATGACACACCATGAAGTCATAAATGTACAAACTAAAGCAGTTTGGATTTTTAAAAAAATCTTATATTTACTATTCTATACATTATTCTCATGTCAAATACAAGTTAATAGACACATCAAGAAACACCTTGATCAAGGCAGATGTGTAGATGGACGAGTTATACGTTTTTCTAGCATAACCATCAATGTAGCATGGAAGAACTAGTTTCTTCTTGTATACCTTATTTTCCCTGTTTAGAAATTAAAATATTTTTTCTATATAACCAGAAGAATTTCTTCACAGTTGAGGGACAGGTCTGTCTCAGAAATGGACATCTAAAATTTGAGGTTTCCAACATTTGTAAGTTCCTTCACGAAGGCCTTGGAGAGTATCTGTTTTAAGGCCTAAAATCTTAGTGATATGTGATCATCCAAGTTTGTGTATATATTTTATTAAATTATATAACTTCATTAAGTCAAATATGAGCCAAATGAAGGGTTAGCAAAAGTTATCCATATCTATAATTTCTGAAAGTTTCTAGCTATTCTTCGTAAATATGTTTATTATTAGTTGCACTTTTTTGTGTGTGACTCTGTTGCCTGGGCTAGAGTCTCATGGCTTCAGCCTAGCTCACAGCAACTGCAAACTCCTGGGCTCTAGCAATCCTCCTGCATCAGCCACCTGACTAGCTGGGACTACAGACACTCACCAGCATGCCTGGCTAATTTTTTCTGTTTTTAGTAGAGACAGGGTCTTGCTCTTGCTCAGGCTGGTCTCGACTCCTGAGGTGAAGTGCTCCTCCACCCCAGCCTCTCAGAGTGCTAGGAATACAGGCGAGAGCCACCACGCCAAGCCAATTATATTTATTATTAAAATACTAATACTGTTAAGATCTTCACATGAACCAAAATTAGTAGTAGGTACTAGGATTTCAATTATATATTCAAAAATCCTAGATATACTTGGAGAAGCAAGGATCATGAAAGTTTCTGAAAGTTTCTTCAATAATTGTAGAAATTAAACTGAGTTTTTATTAGCAGGAGTTTTCTATGGGCTTGGTAGGATTAATTGATAGGGGAACTCAAAGAGTCCCTTAAATGTACATTTGTTACTACTTCAACTTTAGAAAATAATCAAATGCATGGGTAATTCAATAGTGGCTTATATCAATAACTATTGATGATTGTGAATAAACAAATCTAACATTAGAGACATATCTCCTCTAAAAATTCTAAGACTTTGTTTTCCTTATACATACATGTGAGCAACATATATACTACATAGGAATTAAATTATTCCTGTATCTTGACGTGTGTACGTATTTGTTTTATCAAACCACAAACACTTTAAATATCTTTGGCTATACTATTCCAACTCCTTTCAGGTAATTACTATTATATTCTCATGACAACTCTCTGGTGTCATCTATGTTTTCTTTTCCTTCTCCCCTTCAGGCAGACCCGCTACATTGTATGAGACAATGAAGAAAGCTGATATGTGGCTTGTTCGAACCTATTGGGATTTTGAATTTCCTCGCCCACTCTTACCAAATTTTGATTTTGTGGGAGGACTCCATTGCAAACCTGCCAAACCCCTGCCTAAGGTGAACATATTCCTCCTTGTTTGGTTTTGTTTATTTCTTGTAAAAATGATGTGCTTCACCATTATTCTAGCTTAACACTGTTCCTCACCAATATAAAAATGTCCCCAAAATATTTCCAACAAAACTTAATGTTTCTTGTTTCACTGCAGCATTGAAACCATTCCTCACTGAGATCGCAGAGTTTTACCTCTTAGAGCACCAAAGGGAAGGTTTACCTTATCAGAGCAGGTGTTTCCTGCCTTAGGCCAAGTCTATAGGACACCTCAATAAAGCTGCCCAGGGAAACTTTTGTCTCAACCTCATAATTGCCTAACAGAGAACGACAGAGAAAATATATAATGCATATATGATATAGACCAAATAAATTCTATGACGTGTATCTAAAATGTAAACTTAGGTATATATGCAAAAGAATTCTGCAGCATATAAAATAATATTTCTTATGATGGAACACAAGAACAAAATATATTTTACTTTAATATCATACTTTTAAGACTAAAGGAAAAACAAGTTTTTAGTGCATTATTATATGATCTTTTTGTCTACTTTCTTAATAGCCCCAACATAAAATAGAAATCTTATTCATAGGTAAATCCCAATATTTATGTTTAATGCCAATTGATTATGGTAACTTTCACAAGGGAGAGAAGGAGAGGTAAGATTAATGAAAATTCTGTGCTATCTAACCCTATTTATTAATTCCGGCTTTTACTTTAAGGGAAGATGATAGTTCCAGTAAGAGAGTGAAGAGACTAGAAGAAGGAGGATAAGTAAGAATAGGACAACTAGTAGTAAAATAATGATAATTACTAATAATAGCTGTTGTTACTAACTTGCATAATGATTTAAATTCAAGTCAATATTTTTGAAATATATTCTCTAATTATTATATAAAGTAATTGAGCAACAAAATGCTTACTTCTCCATTATATATTAAGTTCTGAGACAATATCTGTGTATTTTCAAATAGTAAGACATTCAGAAAAATATATCAAGCATTTTAAAAATGTATATAAGGATTGGTTTCACACTATACTCATAGGAAAATATGTAAACTGAAAATAAATCAAGATGGGCATAATTCAATATTTATGGCAGATATTCATAATATAAATACTGGAATTAATATAAATATCTTACATTAATAAAGATAAGGAACTTATACTATGTGCATGCCATATTACTACAATAATTTTACCCAAAAATAACTAGCCATAAGGCAAGTTTTTTTGGAAACTGAGGGACAAATGATGAAGAGAACAAGATCACAATTTTTCTATGATTAAAATTTATATAAAATTGTCTAAACATATTCACATAAATACATTGAGCTATATAAACAGAATAAAAGTCATAATGAAAGCACACAAACTTTAAGTTGGGAATATCTCTGGGCAGAGAGTTTGGGTGAAACTCAATATCTTTTTTCTTTAATTTTTCATACTATTACAAAATATTTATATTGATCTTGTATTATGTTCAGAAAGATGTCACAGAATGAGATCTGTATTACTTCTATACTGAACGGAAGAAGAAGGGTTTTTTTGCCAGCAACACAGTGAGACAAAACATTGAGCACAAGTTACACAAAATGCAGCTTCAGGAAACTTGCCTCACACATAATACCTGGATGCCCCATGCATTACAAAGAATAGTATTCATAGTATAGTGACTCTCATTTTAAAACTGATGTCATTTGTTTAAAATGGTATTTTTGAAAGTTGGGAATTATTGTTCGGAAACAATAGTTTTAAACAGAAGCTTCACCCCAAGCATTAACATCTGAAAGTATACTTGTTATGTTGGAAGGGATTGATCATTATATTACACAAAGAAGAAATAATGATTTAATTTCATGTGAAAGGAACAACAACAGAATATATGACTTTGATGCGGTATCCACAAAACATTTGCTTCTACATTTATTTATTTATTTTCCTATCTGTTTTCTTTAGTTGGTTTGTTTGTTTATTCTTTGGTGGGAGAATATATTGAGCAATGTAGAATTATTCCTATATAGAATGCATTACAATTTAAAAGTTGGCACAGAATTGAAATCACAAGTCACAATAATTCTCAATCAATTCCAAATAAGCACATATACACCAGGAGTTTTACATAATGTGATGGAGCCACACAAGAGAGTGACCAGATGTCCATGAGAGAAAGGCCTGGTGGTTCTCTCCACTGTGGCAAAGCTGCTCTCTGAGGGACACAGTGAGAGGACAATGATAGTCCCTCCCAGGCAGATGTAAAGAGCCCTTCAATTTAACAGTGTAATTTCAGGGTAAAAATGGCCTCATACCTAAATAATGACCTAAGAAATGTGATTATTCAACCATGTAACAATATACCATAAAGCTCTAATTGTGAATGAAATCTTTGGCCCTATTTCACTGAAATTCAAAACCACAATATCATAATCCTAAATATCAGTGATTCTTAACCTTCAGCTATTTAGTGTGTATGCATTTGTGTGTGTGTGTGTGTGTGTGTGTGTGTTTTAGGGGAGAAACTTGGAAACTCTGACACACTTTAAGTGAGGTATAAAAGATTATACAACTAAAGAAATATAGGCATAAAATCATCCCAACTCTTAATAAAATTTCCTCCTTGTAATAGAGGAGAATGATTCAAATGATTCCAAAGTAAAAAAATTTTACACAAATATGCCTGAAATGAACAATAGTGATTTAGAACTACAGCCATATAGAATTAAAGCCAAGTGAAGCCACCTTTAATAATCTATATTAGTAAATATAATAATATAAATGAAGAGTCTGGGTGTAATATTTTGTAGCACTATCTCTCCCAACTACACTGTAATAGCTCTACTTCACTTCTTCCTCTTATGTGCATACATACACATGCAAACACATATTTGCAAAAGTATCCATAAAAAAAGACCTCTACTTCATAGTACATATTTCTTGCCAGATAAACTTAGCGATTAGCACAGTTAAAAACAGCCCTTGCTCTAATAATTCTTAAGAATACTTGATTTTCTGTCCCTAGAAGTTTATAACAATCTTTTCAAATGTCTTTCTTATACTGACACTCATTTGTGATGGAACACATTCTTTCTTCACAGGAGATGGAAGACTTTGTCCAGAGCTCTGGAGAAAATGGTGTTGTGGTGTTTTCTCTGGGGTCGATGATCCGTAACATGACAGAAGAAAGGGCCAATGTGATCGCTGCAGCCCTTGCCCAGATCCCACAAAAGGTTAGATAAAGCGCCTAATGGTGGACAGCTACTGAATCCCTCTGTTCAACTTTGTAAAGAGTATGGCTGCAGAAATTTTCTGTCCAAAGGGTTAATAGTTAGGATATCTCTACTTATCTCAGTATCAGCTCAAAGACTAAAATATAAATGGAAAATGCTACAATAGTAAAGAGGTGAGTTTTCATTTATAATACCTTTGACATTAACATTGTGATCATAACAAATATACTGAAGAAGTGCAGAGAAGTTTTGGTATTATCATAGGATTGAAAGCTTGTACACAAAAACACCAAATTCTGCCCTGTCATTTGATGCTATTGTTAATAGACTTCCTGAGGGCTTGTGCACACTACAGATATTATCAAAAAGGAGTTAAATTTTAGTGAGTGTCTGCACTAGCACAATAACAATAAGCAGGTATTGAGAAAAGTCTGCAATGCATTGCAGTTTAGGCTTCCCATGCGATCTGACCTTTTTTGTACCTCCTATAAATTTGGAATAAGGCTATTTGTTGTGCTGTTCAGGGAGCATTCAGAGAAAGGATGATCATGCTGAGAAATCACTCCTCCAGGTACCCACCTAGCCAAGTAGATTCAGAAAAGAGACAAACTTGCTTGCCTTTCATTAGCCCTGGTCTAATGAAAAGATGCAGATGGGATCCTGGCCTTAGGGCAGAACCTGTGCATTGTATAATGTAGCCCCACAGAGTCTCTGATCTCACCAGTAGATTAACAGCTCCTTCTCTTGAGAGAGGAGTCTGGAATAAAGGAAGGAGTCAATCAGATTGAAGCCAGGAATGGTAGAGGTCCAGATGCCTCATCCATAAAATATAATCAGAACTTAATTTCTAAGATATAGAATACAATTACAGTCTATGTGTATTCATGGATTACTTTTTTATTTTCTATGTGACATAGTCTTCTAATGACCTCTCCTACTTTTCTGCTAAAAACTCTAAATTATTCTAATGCTCACATACCAAGTAGAAGGTAAACACTTTTAAATTAAACTACAGTTCACAAGGATTGCCTGGGAATTCTGCAAGCACTAGATTATTTTGGTACTGGACTTGGAAATGTCTTAGTTATAGCAGACCATATGAATCACAGCTGTAGCCTGTCATCTAAGTGTTAATGATCTAGTAAGCCAAATTTAGAAAAATACACTTTTAGACTTTTTTGATAGCTGTGTTGTTATTCATAAATTGCCCACTGTCTCTATTTTTCTACATTGAAAGAATTTCCCAAACTAGAAATAGTGATAATACTTTGAGTTTGTGTCAAAATTGCCACTTAACCTTTTTCATGGAAGAAACTACTAATGCAGCATTGGTAACTTTCTCACAAGCAGCTCATCTTATACATACTTTGTATGTCAAATAATGATAAACTGTAAAGAAATTACTAATGTAACAAGGATATATAAATCAACTTCTTCTCATATCCCTCAAATGCTGAGGTAATAGATACCACAATTATCATGATTTGATTATTACACATTGTATTCCTGTATGAAGACATTATGTGTATCTCGTGCATATGTATAACTATTTTGTGTCCAGTATGATTAAAAATTAAACATTAAAAGAGGAAATAGAAACATTATTATTAAATTTAGAAGATGACAACTTGTATAAAATACATAAACAAATGAAAAGATCATTACTGATGCATGTTTTTTATGTTAGAATTGTATTTACTGTCAATTTCTTAAATACTTGAATTTACCATTAAAAATATCATATGTGTACATTACTTAGAATTCTTATATACAAAATTGAATATAACACTATGCATTTGAAATCTGGTTATTCTATTTAATTTACAGTTTTAGTAGTTCTCATTACCTAGCAACCTTTTTCTCATTTCTTCATCTCTTTTTTATGGAGGGGATTTAAATAGATGGTTGTTAACCCCTTTAGAGCTTCCTATGGCATAGCTTTGGAGTTCCTCCCATGCAACAAGGTATTTTCTTTACCCAACAGGTTCTATGGAGATTTGATGGCAAGAAACCAGACACCTTAGGACCCAATACCCAGCTATACAAGTGGTTGCCCCAGAATGACCTTCTTGGTAAGATACTGGAGAAAAAATACTGAATATATGACTAACAGCCAATTAGAGTGGCAGTAGGTCAACAGCAACAAACATATTGAATATTTACTTTTGAAAACTCAAATATAAATCATAACTATTTATTATTTATTTTCAAGCCCTAAGAGGAAACAATAAAGTGTATCAGTTGGCTTTTTATTACATACACCCATATTCTTTATGTCCTTAAACAAAATTTATTTCTGGTCCTAATTGCCTCTCAGAAAATTTTGCAATAGCTTCCTGGGTTGTCTATCTATTTCTAGAATGTTACCCATCCTTTTCCCTATAGTAGGTTTATTTCACATGACACTGAAAAAGAACAGTTGCTCTTCTATTACCAATGACTCTGCATTTTCTATGGGAATAAAACCCGGTATTTACTAGACTGTGATGACACCTCCACAGGGAAGTGTGACCTGTCCTTCCTCTGACCCCAGCCCTGCTCCCAGCACTCTCCCTGTGCCCTGGGCACCTTGCATGTCAGACTCCCTGACTGCACTGTTGCTTTAAGAGGACATGTTCTTACATGACTAACCTAATTCTTTACTTTTGCTTTTCTGTTTTATATCCATTGTACATTTCCTTTTTTTTATTTCAGAAATTTATGAGAGTACAAATATTTTTATTACATTTTATATCTTTGCCTCTCCCTAGCCAGGGTTAGAGGCAAGCCCTTCCCCTCTACAATGCTCACCGTGTCCTTAATTGGCGAGTTTACTCCCCAAAGCCCTAATCCCTGGAGTATGTCACTACCATGTGAGCACCATAGTGTTGATCAATCTGTACCAATTTGATGCCAAGTACAAGTGGAGCCTATTCCTCCGATCTTGTGTTAACTCACTTTGGATAATGGGCTCAAGCTCAATCAAGGAAAATATAAGTGATGCTATATCACTGTCATTTCTTATAATGAGTAATATTCCATTGTATATATATACCAAATTTTAATAATTCACTCATGAATTCACTGGCTCTTGGGTCTTTTCCACATCCTTGCAATAGTGATTGTGCTGCCATAAATATTCGGGTACAGATGTCTTTATTATAGAATATCTTTTGCTCTTTTGGGAGGATGCCTAATAGTGCTATTGCTGGATCGAATGGTATTTCTATTTTTAGCTCTTTGTAGAATCTCCAAATTCTTTTCCACAAAGCCTGCACTAATCTGTGGTCCCACCAGCAGTGTACAAGTGGGTTCCTGTCTCTCCACATTCTTGCCAACATTTGTTGTTTTGGGATATTTTGATACAGGTGAATCTCACTGGGGTTAGGTAGGTGATATCTCATTGTACTTTTGATTTGCATTTCTCTAATGATTAGAGATGTGGAGCATTTTTTTATGTTTGCTGGCCATTATCTGTCTGCTTTTGAAAAGTTTTTGTTCATTTCCATTGCACAATTATTGATAGGGTTCTTTGATTTTTTTCTTGTTGATTCTTTTAAGTTCTACATAGATTCTTGTTAGCAGCCCTTTACTGAATGAGTAGAGAGCAAATATTTTCTCTCATTCTGTAGGTTGTCTATTCGCTTTAATGATTTCTTTGGCTGTGCAAAAGCTTTTTAATTTGATCAGATCCCATTTATTTATTTTTGTTGCTACAGTGATTGCTTTGGGGGTCTTCTTCAAAAATTCATTGCCTAAGGTGATGTCTGAAAGGGTCTTCACATCTTCTTCTAGAATTCCTAGAATTCTTAAGGTTTCATGCTTTAAGTTTAAGTCTTTTATCCATCTTGAGTGGATTTTTGTGAGAGAGGTGAGAAGTAGGGATCCAGTTACATTCTTTTTCATGTAGATATCCAGTTTTCCCAGCAACTTTTATTGAAAAGACATTCTTTTCCCCAATGTATATTTTTATCTGTTTTGTCAAAGATTAGATTACCATATGCGGATTGTTTCATCTCTGGAATCACAGTCCTGTTCCAAAGATCTATGTCTCTGTTATTGTGCTGGTAACAAGCTGATTTAGTTATTATAGCTTTGAAGTACAGCTTGATGTTGGGTAGACTGATATCTCCCAGTTTGCTCTTTTTACTTAAGATTGCTTTGGATATAGGAGGTCTTTCTGGTTTCATACAAAGTATAGAATTATTTTTTCTAGATCTGTAAAGAATGATGATTGTACTTTGATGGGGCTTGCATTAGTTCTGTAGATCACTTTAAGTAGTATGGACATTTTAATGGTATTGATTCTACCAATCCATGAGCAAGGTAGATTTTTCCATCTGTTCATATCTTCTACAATTTCTTTTCTTAGTGTTTTGTAGTTCTCCCTGTATATGTCTCTCACATCTTTCCTTAAACATATTCGTAGTTATTTAATTTTCTTTGATGCTATTGTAAAGGGTATTGTTCTTTTTATTTGAATTTCAGCTTGGCTGTTATTGGTGTATATGAATGCCTCTAATTTCTGTGTATTGATTTTGTATTCTGAGACTTTACTGAATTCAATTATCAATTCTAGGAGTCTCTTGGATGAATCCTTGGGTTTTTCTAGATATAATATCATATCATCAGCAAAGAGTGAGAGTTTGATCTCCTCTTCCCCCATTTGGACACTCTTAATTCCCCTCTCTTATCTTATTGTCCTATCAAGGACTTCCAGCCCTATGCTGAACAGAAGTGGAGATAGTGGGCAACCTTGTCTGATTCCGGTTCTAAGTGGAAATGTTTTCAATTTTTCCCCATTAAGTGTGATACTGGCCATGGGTTTGTCATAAATGATAAAGTATGAGCCATCTATGCCTTCTTTCTTAAGAGGTTTTATCATAAAAATGCGTTGTACTTTGTCGAATGCTTTTTCTCCGTCTATCAAGAGAATCATTTGGTCTTTGTCTTGCTTTTATGAGGCAAATTTCATTTATAGATTTGTGTAGGTTGAACCAGCCTTGCAACCCTGGAATAAAGCCCACCTGGTCATGATGAATTATTCCTTTGCTGTGCTGATGAACTCTATTTGCTAAAATAGTTTGAGAATTTTTGCATCTATATTCATGAAGGATATTGGTCTGTAGATTTCTTTTATGGTTTTTGTCCTTTTCTTGCTTTGATATCAAGGTGATATTGACTTCATAGAATGAGTTAGGGAGGATACCATCTTTCTCATTGTTTTGGAATAATTTCTGTAGTATATGTGTGAGTTATTTGTATGTTTGATAAAACTCTGAAGTGTAGCCATCTGGTCAAGGGCTTTTCCATTTTGGGTGATTTAATTGCTGCTCCAATTTCGGAGCTTGTGATTGTCTATTGTGAAATTTTGTTACCACCTGGGTGAACTGAGGGAGTTTGTATGTTTCCAGGAATTTGTCCATTTCCTCCTCATTATGCAGCTTTTTGGCACATAGTTTTTTACAGGAATCAAAAATAATGTTCTGTATTTCAGTGATATGTGTTGTGAACTCTCCTTTCTAATTGAGTTTATTATACTCGTTTCCCTTTGAATTCTTGTCAATCTAGCAAGAGGGCTATAAATTGTTTTTATCTCTTCTAAAAACCAGCTTCTGCTTTTGTTGATCTTCCATAAAATTCTCCTGTTCTCAATTTCTTTAGTTCTGCTTTGATCTTACTTATTTCTATTTTGTTTCCACTACTAGGACTGGAAATGGTTTGCTCTTCCTTTATCAAGTCCTATACTCTATTTATTAGGTTGTCAGTTTCTAAGCTTTCTGTTTTTGGATGTGAGCATTTATTGCTATTAGTTTTCCTCTCATGTATGCTTTTGATCTTTCTCACAGGTTTTGATAACTTGTGTCTCAGTTATCATTTAGTTGGAAGAAACTCTTGATTTCCCTCTGAATTTCCTCCTTAACTCAATAATAGATTGTTTACTTAACATGATTTTTTGAAGTGAATGTTTCTGTTGTAATTGAATTCTAATTTTATAACACTATGATCAGAGAAGATATATCACATGATTTCTATTTTTTTTTTAATTTTTTGATGTCTGATTTGTGGCCTAGTATGTGATCAATTTTGGAGAAAGTTCTATGGGCTGCTGAGAAGAATGTAAATTTAACTTTATTTGGATGGACTGTTTTGGAGAGATCTATCTGAGTCTTTTGTCCTAGAGCTCTGGTAAGTCCATTATTTCTTTGCTTATTATCTGTTTGGAGGATCTTTCCAGTTCATTCAGTGGAGTATTGATGTGCCCCGGTACTATGCCATTATTGTATATCATGCTACTCAGATCAGACAAGGTTTGCTTTATGTAATTGGGTGCTCCTGCATTGATTGCATAAATATTCAAAATTGTTAAAACTTCTTGTTGGATCTTCCCTTTCTCCATTATATAGTGGTGATCTTTATCCTTTTTTACTTTTGATATTTTAAAGTTTATGTGATCTGAAAATGGTACAGCTACCCCTGCTTGCCTTTGACTTCCATTTGCCTGGATGATAATTTTCCATTCCTTGACCTTCAGCTGAAAGTCCTCTTTGTGGGTTAGATGCGTTTCCTGTAGGCAGCAGATACTAGGCTTGTGTATTTTTATCTACTCTGCAAGTCTACATCTCTTCTTAGGACAGGTTAAGCCATTCAAATGTATTGAGAGGATTGACATTTCAGATAGATTTCCATTCATATTATTGGGTGAAAACCTATTGTTTTGTTTTACGTCTTGAGTCATCATGCAGGCCAAGTTCTAGTCTTTAACTATTGGATGATTTGACTTTGTGGATTATCTATTGCACTGTTCTATGTGTAAGGCAGGTCTGAGTGCTTCCTGTAGGGCTGCTCTGCTCTTTGCACATTCAGTCAGTGATTGCTTATCTGGGAAGGACTTTATTTCTCTTTCATAGATGAAACTTAATTTTGCTGCAGAAGGAATTCTAGGTTGGACCTTATTCTGTTTTAGAAGATTAAGGATAGGCACTCAATCCTTTCTGGGTTGTAAGGATTCAGTTGAGAAATCTGCAGTTAGCCTGGGAGGATTTCTTTTGTAGTTTATTTGTTGCTTTTCTCTCACTGCACAGAGAATTGCTTCTTTTGTGTTTACTTTAGTCAGCCTAATAACCACATGACATAGTGATTGCCTTTTGACATTTAGTCTCTGTGTTTAGGTTTCTGTGTACAACTTATATCTAGATATCAGGAGTTCTTGCCAGGCCCGGTATATTTTCCTCCAGTATTCCATGAAATTAGTTTTCCAGCCCTTGTGAATTTTCTTCTTCTCCCTCTGGGATCCCAATCAATCTACGATTTGGCTTCTTTACGTAATCCCACATTTCTTGTATGTTTTGGTCTTGTCTCTAGTTTCTGTGTTATCTTTCTTCCTCTAGTTTGTTAAGCATATGGGCATTATCTTCAAGTTCTGAGATTTTTTTTCTCTGCATGATCCATTCTGTTCTTGAGGCTTTCCACTGTATTTTGGAGTTCCTTGAATGCCTCCTTCATTGACAAGATTTCTGTGTGGTTTTTCTGTAGTATTCCTATTTGTTTGGAGAATTTTTCATTCATTTCTTCAATTGTTCTTGTGGTTTCTTTATGTTGGTATTCTATTTTCTCTCAATTCCATTGAATTTTCTAGCAATCCATACTGAGAATTCTTCCTCTGTCAGTTTAATCATATCATGTAAATTGGTGTCAGATGATGGAGATCAAGTATTTTTGTTTGGAGGTGACTTTTCCTCTGATCTTTCATGTTTCCTTTGTTCTTTCACTTGTTCTTTCTTATCAGGCTACTTTGTTGAGGACTGGAGGTGCTGGGGCTAGTTTATGGACTAAATTCTGGGATTCCAAAAGGAATTTTCTTGACAGAGCTGAAGAGATGTGTTCTGGTCCTGAATTATTTTAGAGGATTTTTAGCCTATTTGGTTATCTCTGACTTATTGTCTTCACGTCTGCTTACAGTGTTTAGTGAGTTGGATCCCTTCATTAGACACCCAGGATTTGGATCTCTGTGTGTGTGTGAAGCCGATATCAACCACTAGTTTGAGGTGGGAGGCACTGTTTTGGGCTTTTAGATTACTCTCTCTTTTGTTGCTTGTGGTTTGCATGGAAGAGTCAGTTATCAAGGTACTCCAATGGCTTTGTATTGTGCTCTAAACCCCCAAATGGGATATACAGGTATCTCAGTTTCTTGGAAATGTCAAGCCACTCCCAAGGGTTCCTTGAGTCCTGTTACCACTTTAGGTGGGGTCAGAAGACCAAAAGGTATTAACAAGCCTAAGACAGAATACTTAAGAAGTTGCTTGATCTTTAGCTAGGGGAGATCGGCTAATATGTTATTCAGAGTCCTTTTGCCACTCTTGGGGAGAAGCTCCTGGTGGGGAGTGTCAATTGGTGCAATTAATAAGGACGATGGTCAAGATTTTCCTTCCCGACCCACAATCCCCTAAGTTGGCACCATCTTAGGTGCCAAAGGCAAGCCCTTGTATTCTGATCTTATGACATGATCAAAACCAACCTTCTGTATGTAGTCATCAATCTGTCCCCTTTTGTTTGGTTCCAAGGTCTGACAGATTCAAACTAGTCATACAGAGAAAACAAGTTTTCTCCTTTCTCCTTTCCTTCCAGGTTTGAGTCTGACCTGGTGGGCTGGGCGAGAGACTTTGGATAAGACTACCACAAGTTCTAGCCTGGAAAACGTCTGTTCTTATTTTTCCCCTCCTCCAAGGGTCGAGTCTGCACTGCCAGTTGAACAGATAACCAACCAGCCTGGCAGAAGGGTACTTCTTAGGTCTACCAGGCGTCTCAGCCCAGGAAGTGGTTACTCTCATTACCGTGGCTCTCCAAGGGCAGGGTTTATCTCTTTGGTATCTAATATAAACCTCAGGGCTGTTGGAGAAGCCCTGCCCAAGGCCACTTAGGCTCCCAGATCAGAGAGCGGCCTGCCTCACTACTCTGCCCATTGAGAGGTGGGGTCAGTCCCTTCCATATGAAACACCAGTGGCCTGGTGACAGCCAAGGACCTTCTGCAACCCTGGCAGGTCTCTGCCCAGAAAACAATCTCCCTCACCGCTCCTCAATTCCACGAGTTGGGTCTATCCCTTTGGCTTGAGGCACCAGCTAACAAGTCACAATAAAGAGGAGACCATGGGTCTCAGCTTGAAAAGCAGCCTTGATAAGTTGCTACTACACCCTTTCAGCAACCAGTGGTGGTGGGGAGGGGGGGAGAAGCGAAGAGGAGGTAGCAGTACAACGCCGAGGGTTTCAGCTTGAAAAATGGCTTCTTTCTGAACTCTGCCCCAGGGCACATTCTGTCCCTTTGGTGCAAAGCTCCTGGGCCTGAGTCGCAGGAAAGTGTGGGTGGTAATGTCTCCCCAGGTCACAGCTGGAAAAGTGGTTTCCTTTGAAACTCCACCCTGCTAAGGCGGGCTCTGTTCTTTTGGCATGAAATGCAGGTGGCTGGGTGTGATGGGGACTGCCCCAGTCTACCTGGCAACTCAGCCAAGAAAGCAACTTCTCTCCTTTTCCACCCCTTCAAAGGCAGAGCTTGAGACACCGGCAGGAAAAGACTAGCAGCAGCCTTGGGAGAGAGAAATCTGCTTCACTTATTACTATCCTCCTCCAAGGGCCAGAACTGCTCAGCTGGGCCATGGTAGGGAGGAAGTCTGACAGTGTTGCCAGGGCAATATGCCACAGTGTTTTTAGATTCTGGACTCTCAAAATGGTGGCCTCCTGCCCACTGAGAGTCAGCACCAGAGGCACCTGCATGATGGATAGCTGGGTTGGGTTTGACACAGTCTCTAAGATGCTCCTGCTGAGCCACTGCTTCTCTAACACACTGACGCACTACTGCTTAGATGCAGGGTTCTGCACTCTTTCCCAACCTGCAACATCTATGTCTACGGCGATTTCCAAAGGCAGAGCTTCCATTATGGTGTTCACCTCTCTTGTTCTGGTCCTGGTGGATTCCTGAAGTGAGATGCTTGCAAAAAGTCTCTCTTCTGCAGAACTAGGAAGTGTCCACTTGGTCCAGACCCACCCCTGCCCAAAGAAGACTCAGCACAGTGCACAGGAGAGTTAAAAGTGTTTCTAGCTCTGGACTTTACGCAGCGTGTAGGTCCGTGCTATCCATCCCAGTGACTTCAGGCACTTCCCTGCCTGTGTGGGTGTGGAGGTCGGTAGAGGAATAGTCATCCCCCTGTGGGTCAGACTGCACTGCCCTGGCCGGCTGGCCAATGGTCACAGCCAACCAGGCTCTACTCCCAATTGTATTATCGCCCACTATTCGGTGGTTTATTCTAATTAGTGGTTTATTCTCTGATTCACCTTTTTTTCCTAGAGCTGCTTGGCCCTCACTGCTTCTCTGTAGATTAACGAAGCTGATCCTGTGGGAGTGTGATACACTCACGTGTAGTTGTCTGTGTTCTTCACCTCCTAGTCTGAGAGCAGAGAGCCAGTGGTTCACCCTAATCCTCCATTTTTATACGCTACTGTTGATTGTACACTTTCTTTATGTAGAATGTGATTTTTTATTTGTCCACCTGGAAATCTTGTATTCATTTTTCCATTCTCAAGTCACACACCATTTCTTCCATGTAGCCTTCACTTATCTCTCCAGCAAAAGTAGATGCTTCTTCCTTTGAAATCTGAATGCAATTTCAGGGAAGTTCCATGGACGTTCTAATCTGCTATCTAGAAAACATTGCCTCTCTCAGTATTCTATATTGTGCATTTCTCATTTTATTCCTAAGACTTATAATGAGTAATTTTGCTGAATTTCACCCAACTCTAGGTCATCCAAAAACCAAGGCTTTCATAACTCATGGTGGAGCCAATGGCATCTATGAGGCCATCTACCATGGGGTCCCCATGGTGGGCATCCCTTTGTTTGCGGATCAACCAGACAACATTGCTCACATGAAAGCCAAGGGAGCAGCTGTTAGAGTGGACTTCAACACAATGTCAAGTACAGATTTGCTCAGTGCTTTGAAGACAGTCATTAATGACCCTTTGTGAGTATGCTAATTCTTTTAATAAGTGGTATTTACAGATATGTTTTCTTGTCCAGAAGGAAGATGAGATTCATCCCTTTATTAGTTGATTAACTTTGAAAGAATTTGAATGTTTTAAGTACTATGAAATCTGCTTTTATTTTCCACCAGTTATTTCACAGTTGCATTGAACTCTATAAATTTAATGGGTAGCCAATTAGTGCAAAGATGTTCTACATAAAAATAACTTCAGATATATAGATAAGTATAAAAAGGATGAATTTTAAAAACTAAAATTTCACACTTAAAAGGAGTAATGAACTTAAATATGATGACATATTTTAATTCAATTTATAAAATTTCTGAATGTATTCATATTTATTACTTAAAAATTTACTTTTATATCATCTTTTTAATATATTTGATGAGATATAATTTATAACGCATAAAATTCACCTATTTAGTATATAAAACTTGAATATTTTTACCATGTTTACAGAGTTTTGAGGCCATCACCATAATATAATTTTAGAAACATTTTATCAACCCAAAATAAATTTCATAAGGTATAGATGTCTTTTCCTATAAGCTCCTTAACCTAGTGAATTACCAATATTTTTCTTTATGGTTTACCCTCTCTAGAAATATGCTGTAAATGGAATCATACAATTTGTAATGTTTTATAAATAGCTTTTTCCATTAGGCCTAGTTTTTTTTTAGTTTTATCCATGTAGCTGCATGTATCAGTATTTTGTTCCCTTTTATTGCTGTATAATATTCTGTAGTATATGAATATACCATAATTAATCCATCCATTTATCAGCTCATGGACATTTTGTTTGCAATTAAGATCATCATCATATATGTTTTTTCATGAAAATATGTTTTTATATTATGAAGGTAGATATTATTAGTGGAATTGCTGGGCCATATGGCAATTATCGTTTATCTATAATTGCTAAATTGTTATCCATTGTGCATGAAACATTTTTCATTACTACCAGTAGAATAGGAAGGTTTCAATTCATTCATAGTGTTCCCAATGCTTATCATCTGACTTTTAATTACTTCATTGCGCTGGAGTAAAGTAGTCTTTCATTAGTCTTGGTTTGTTTTTCCCTTATGGCTCAAAATAGCATCTTTTCAAGTGTTAACTAGCGTTAACTGAGCATCCTTTCAAGTGTTAACTAGTCATTCAGATGTCTTCATTGGGGAAAGTTTGATTTCAATCTTTTGAACATTTTTTTATTTTTAAATTTATTTTATTCCTGATTTATAATAATACCTTATACATTATAGTTGCAATTTCTTATCAGATATATGATTTTAAAATATTTTTGTCCACTCTGGATGGGTGGATTATATATATATTTTTGATGAAATACTTTGAAGCACGAATTTTCTGTTTGGTAAAATAAATCTTTAATAATTAATTATTTTCATACTCCAATGGAAATAATTTGGAAATTGCATTGTCTAGACCAGCTATTATCAATTTCAGCATTTATTACTGCTATCAATAATATTGCTATTTAAGAAAGTATCACATAAAGGAATACTTGAGAGATATTTTATCAAGCAAAAATAGTAGATAATAAATGATAAAAATCCTTTCAGAGAAGGCAGGAAAAATCTAGAAAATAAACATGAAACAAGTTGGAAAAATAGAAAAGAAAATACAGAATGAGATGTTAGATATAAATGTAAATATATCAGTATTTATATGAAATCTAAACAAAGAAAAGACAAAATAATGGTTAAGGAAATAAAACATTTGAAGAACACAATTTAAAAATGTACCTATTTACATAGTATATATGTAGAGATATTTATGTATAGCCTATACCAGGGGTTCTCAAACTTATTAAACAGGGGGCCAGTTCACTGTCCCTAAGATCATTAGAGGGCTGGACTATAGTTTAAAATAAAACTATGAACAAATTCCTATGCACATTGCACATATCTTATTTTGAAGTAAAAAAATAAATGGGCAAAAAAACCCACATGTGGCCCACGGGCCATAGTTTGAGGATGCCGGGCCTATACATTTATAGTATGTATATATATGTATAGGTGTGTGTGCGTATGTGTATAAACTAGAAATACACATTTGTCAAGTGTATACAGAATAGTTACCTGAATTGAGCACACAATGGGTTATAGATCACAAATAAGTAAATTCTAAAAGATTGAAGACCATAAAGATATTTGGACTAGCGATACTATAAGTTTGAAATAATCAAGTTATAGCTTTAAAAGTAATAGTCCATTGGTGACTTCATCGTTATTTTTCAGTTAATTTTTAGCATTTGAGCTGTTTACTTAGAGTATGTACATTTGCCTTATGTATTTCATGCTTAAGAGTTTATTTGAGAAGATAAACAACAAATTTTAAAATTTTAAGACCAAATAGATAAATAAGCACACCAAAAAAGAGGAAATCCTAGGGGTGCTATCATACCAGGAAAAACCTTTCTCAGAGATAACAATTAAGAGGAAGCCTGGAAAAGAGATGGAGGCACCTGTGCTGTTTCAAGGAAGAATGCACCAAGAAGGGGAGGGAGGGACAAAAAATTTAAAGATTCTAAAGTGAGAACACATGTGGCAGCTTAGAGGACAGTAGAAGGACAGCTTTCCTAGAAAAGAATGTGCATGGGCCTGATTAGGAGCAGAGTGTCCAGTGACTGATGATGTAGCGTCCTATTGACCAAAGAAGAGATTCTTTAGGTGATGACAATCCAGATGGGAATCTTAGTCACAGGATGTCATAATAAGACACTTGTTTCACAGAAATTCATTTTAGGTATAGGGTGGCAAACACAGAGCAGAAGACAGAAGAGGAGAATAGAAGCAGACAGACTGCTTAGGAGGCATTTCAGCCACCGTGAAACAATTCCCTTTTGAAAACATCCAGATGATATTTCTCAGATTGCATTTCTAATATATTATTTATAATGCTTAGAATGGTTCTTAATATTTCTTCTGCTAGAAAGATATTAACTTTCCCACTTGACCTCACATTTTGCTTTAAAAAATATATTTAATGATAAAATTCCAATTTAAAGATCATGCTATCTATATTTACTCATATTAAAATATTCAAATTCTATGTCAATTTTGTGACATTTCCTTTGAATCATTTGTATGACACTTTTCAAAAACCTTTCATGAATCTCATATGGTTAGCCAATTAATTTCAATGTTCGGATTTTTACATTTCTCCTCAGATATAAAAAGAATATTATGAAATTATCAAGAATTCATCATGATCAGCCGATGAAACCTCTCGATCGAGCAGTCTTCTGGGTCGAGTTTGTCATGCGCCACAAAGGAGCCAAACACCTTCGGGTTGCAGCCCACGACCTCACCTGGTTCCAGTACCACTCTCTGGATGTGCTTGGGTTCCTGTTGGCCTGTGTGGCCACTGCTATATTCGTCATCACAAAATGTTGCCTGTTTTTCTTCCGGATGTTTGCTACAGCAGGAAAGAAGAAAAAAAGGGAGTAATTAGATCTAGGCCTGAATCCTCAATACCTGATAATGATAGATAGGACTCATCCAGTTGATTCCAGCAAGAAGGGGTTGTGGTATAAGATTTTTTTGCTCCTGTGACAACAGGACAAACAATTTACTTTGTCAATTCAATCTGTGTTTACAAAGGATTTACTGCCTTTTTAAGGATAGAAATATTTTATGGCAAAGAGAATAGAAAAAGTGAGGAATAATAAAAATGCAAAGAACTACATAGTTTTATATTGATATGTGTTGTTGTCATACAGAAATCATGTTAAAATTTGTGTTGAATTTCAATTTAGATGTTGTGCATGAACATAAGAACAAGAAGAAGTCGACTCACAGTATCAGTATTTTTCTGCAAAGTCAGGTACCTTAACTTCCACAGCTCAGTAAGAACAGACATTACAGTTTCTCTCTCTGTTCCTTTCTCTCTCTCTCTTTCTCTCTCACTCTCTTTCTGTCTCTCTGTCCATTATGTTAGAGCCCAATGCCATTCCTGAAATCCCTAGGATAAATTGATCATTTGATGGCAAGATACATAAGTCATGCTTAAGAGGTCCCAATCAGTCCAGCACCAGTTTGAGATTTTTGATAGTAATCTCCACAGAAGTGAGTGATTTACCTTTAGATAAGTACAAACCCAACCATCTTATGATAGTAACCATTTGAGAAATGCAATGCAATGAACACTTAGCTTAGCAGCACTGTAAGACATGACATTAAAATAATTGTTGTTCTAAGCCCCTGTATTGCAGGGCAGGAGCTTATGCAATGATGGGTAACAAGATAAATATTTCCACATATTCAGGAGGAGTCTAAGGGCCTGACAGAGCTGCTTTATGTCGTGCATGGCCTGGAAAACTAGCCTATGACCATGTGGCCCCCTGGGGCTAGCCTATACCTTTCCAGTACACTCCTGATCATGTAGTTGTACCTGGAGCAGAAATTGATCCCACTAAAATAACCTCTCCTGGATGCATTTGGGTCAAATTCCCTGCCTTCCTGGCACTTACTCCTGTCTCCAACTTGAGGAAACTTGTGATGCTAGTCATGCTTTAGAGATACAGGATCCAAACCAAAGTGTGCCATCCCTGTTTTTGAATGCAATGCCCTGTGCCAGTGACCACTGCAAAACTAAGTGGTCTGTGGGCCTGCAGTTCCACCTCCAGGTGTTCAAGATGCATGAAAAAGGCAGGAGACTTTGTGCCTCAGAATTTACACCAAAATGAAAATGTGTCTGTGGATATGTAGGTGAGGTTCAGGATTCTCTGAGGTACTGAGATGAATTCACTTACAATGTACCAGTAAATTACATAATAGCCATCAGGGAGCATGTTTAAAATGGGCAGGTAATGGAAACAGTTGTCGACACTACCTACTCAGGAAATATAGGAAGATTCCTTAATCATTCTTGTGAGCCAAACCAATTCGTGTTCAAATTGACTCAATGGTACCTAAGTTCATGCCTTTTAATGACTTTTCAGGACGGGATTTTTTTTTTTCATTTTTTTGTTATTTCGGCATATTATGGGGGTACAGATTTTAAGGTTTCAATAAATGCCCATTTCCCTCCCCCAAAAGTCTGAGTCCCCATCATGACCATCCCCCAGATGGTGCACATCTCACTCATTATGTATAATATACCTGCCCCCTTCCCCCCTCCCACCTGCCCAATACCCTATTACTGTAGCACCTATGTGTCCACTTAGGTGCTACTCAGTTAATACCAGTTTGCTGGAGAATATATCTGGTGCTTGTTTTTCCATTCTTGGGATACTTCACTTAGTAGTATGGGTTCCAGCTCTAAACAGGAAAATATAAGATGTGCTATATCACCATTGTTTCTTAGAGCTGAATAGTACTCCATGGTATACATATACCACATTTTATTAACCATTCTTGGATTGATGGGCACTTGGGCTGTTTCCACAGCCTTGAATATGAATTGTGCTGCTATAAACATTTGAGTGCAGGTTCTTTTTGTAGAGTGTCATTGGATCATTTGGGTAGATGCCAGCAATGGATTGCTGATCAAATGGTAGATTCACTTGTATCGCTTTAAGGTATCTCCATATTGCTTTCCACAGAGGTTGAACTAGTTTGCAGTCCCACAGCAGTGCAGAGTGTTCCTCTCTCTCCGCAACCCGCCAGCATTTATTGTTTGGAGATTTTTGATAAAGGCATTCTCACTGGGGTTAAGTGATATCTCATTGTGGTTTTGATTTGCATTTCCTGATGATTAGGGATGTTGAGCATTTTTTCATATGTTTGTTGGCCATTCTTCAGTCTTCTTTAGAAAAGTTTCTGTTTCAAGTTCTTTGCCCACTTTTTAATGGGGTTATTTGATTTTCTTCTGATTTTCGTGACTTCTAAGTATATTCTAGTTATCAGTCCTTATCGGATGCATAGGATGCAAAAATTCTCCCATTCTGTAAGTTGTCTGTTTACTTTCATGACTATTTCTTTGGCTGTGCAGAAGCTTTGTAGTTTGATCATGTCCCATTTATTTATTTTTGTTGCTGCTATGATTGCCTTTGGGGACTTCTTCATAAACTCTTTGCCGGCCGATGTCTAGGAGAGTGTTTCCAATTTTCCTCTAGAGTTCTAATAGTTTCATACCTTAGGTTTAAGTCTGTTATCCAGCGTAAGTTGGCTTTTGTGAGAGGTGAAAGGTGTGGATCCTGTTTTAGCCTTCTACAGGTGGCTATCGAGTTTTCCCAGCACCATTTATTGAAGAGGGATTCTTTTCCCCAGCGTATGTTTTTGTCTGCTTTGTCAAAGATTAGATGGCTATATGAGGATGGTTTTATATCAGGATTCTCACATCTCTTCCACTGGAATATTCCTATTTTGTGCCAATACCATATTGTTTAATTACTAGCTTTGTAGTATAGTTGATATCTGGCATATTAATGCTCTCATTGTTTTTGTTGCCTAGAATTGCTCTTGATATTCGGGGTCTTCTTTGGTTCCATACGAAACGTAAAATTATTTTTCCTGTATCTGTGAAGAATGCTGATGGGATTTTAATAGGTATTGCATTGAATCTGTAGATCAGTTTGGGTAGTATAGACATTTTGATGATGTTGAGTCTGCCGATACACGAGCATGGTATGGATTTCCATCTGTTTACATCCTCTGCTATTTCCTTCCTCAGTGTTTCACAGTTCTCCCTGTAGAGGTCTTTTACGTCCTTGGTTAAGTATAATCCTAGGTACTTTAATTTCTTTGTTGCTATTGTGAAGGGAATTGAGTCTTTGATTTGGTTCTCAATTAGATTGTTGTTGGCGTATATGAATGCCTCTGATTCTGTGTATTGATTTTGTATTCTGAGACTTTACTAAATTCATTGATCAGTTCCAGGAGTTTCTTGGTTGAATCCTTGGTGTTTTCTAGATACAATATCATATCATCAGCAAACAGTGAAAGTTTGATCCCTTCTGCCCCTATTTGGATACCTTTGATCCATTTTCCTGTCTCATTGCTGTAGCCAAGACTTCCAGTACTATGTTGAACAGAAGTGGAGCTAGTGGGCAGCCTTGTCTGGTTCCAGTTCTAAGTGGGAATGATTTCATTTTTCCCCATTCAGTATGATGTTGCTATGGTCTGTCATATATGCTTGTATCATTTTTAGGTATGTCCCTTCTATGCCTATTTTCTGAAGTGTTCGTATCATGAAAGGGTGTTGAATTTGTCAAAAGTTTCTGCATCTATTGAAAGAATCATGTGGTTTGTTTTTGCTTCTGTTTATGTGGTGAATTGCATTGATAGATTTACGTATGTTGAACCATCCCTGATCCCGGGATGAAGCCACTTGGTCGTGGTGGTATTTTTTTGATAAGTGTCTGGATTCGGTTAGCTAAGGTTTTGTTAAAATTTTGCATCTATTTCATTAGGATATTGGTCTGTAGTTTTCTTTTTTTGTTGCATCCTTTCCTGGTTTTGGTATCAGAGTATATTCGCTTCATAAAAGTGTCGGGAGATTTCCGTTCTTCTCGATGTTGTGGAATAGTTTCTGCAGAGATAGGTACTAGTTCTTCTTGTAGTATGGTAAAATTCGAGGTGAAGCCATCTGGACGGGACTTTTCTTTTTAGGGAGATTTTTAATTGCTGTTCTATTCAGCTGTTGAGGTTGGTCTGTTCAGGGAATCTATTCTTCCTGGTTGAGCCTACGGAGCTGTGTGTTTCTAGAAATTTTGCCATTCCTCCACATTTTCCAGTTTGTGTGCATAAACATTTTGTGTAGATTCTAAATTGTATCTTGTATCTCTTTGGGATCAGTGTGATCTCCTTTTTATTCCTGATGGGTATTAAGTTTCTGCTTTGCTGTTTCGTAGCAGAGTTCTTTGTGTATTGTCAAAAGACCAAGGTGTGTGACTGTTGTCGTTGTCTGTATTTTCGCTGTGGTGTAGTGTTTCATGTTGAGTTCGGATGTTTATGACTTCTGTGTGTTTGCTGGGTTGTGTGTGTTGTTTGAGTCTTCATTATTTCTATTTGTGATCTTCTTGTCTTTTGGTTATAGACATTTATGGAGATAAACTTTCCTCTCAGAACTGCTTTATCTGTGTCCCAGAGGAGATGATAATTTGTCTCTCCATTGTCGTTTTCTTCATAGAACTTTTTTATTTCTGTCTTGTATTCTTCATTTACGAAGTAATCATTTAATAGCAGGTTGTTTAATTTCCTGGTTTTTGTGTAGAAATGTGAGTTTCTATTAGGGTTGATTTCTACTTTTATTCCACTGTGATCTAGGAAGGTACATGGTATGATTTCTATTTTTTAATTTTTGAATTTTCTTTGTGTCCTAGGATATGGTCCTTAGAGAATGTCCCATGAGCTGAATGAAAGACGTATATTTAGTGATTTTGGGTAGAATGTTCTGTAGATGTCTGTCAGACCCAATGTTCTAGAGTTGTTTAAGTCCATTATTTCTTTATTAATTTTCTGTTGAGATCATGTCTCGTGCCGTCAGTGGGGTGTTGAAATCTCCGGCGCGTATGGAGTTGCTATTAATCCATTTGCTTAGCTCCAGTAAGGTTTGCTTCATGAATCTGGGTGCACCTAAGTTGGGTGCATATATATTTAAATTGTTATCTCTCTGTTGAAGTGTGCTTCACCATTATATAATTGACCTCTTGTCTTTCATTACTTTGTTGGTTTAAAAATAAATCGTCTGAAATTAGAACTGCCACACCAGCCTTCTTTTGGCTTCTATTTGCTTGGAATATT